GTAGGTGACCAGCATGGCCCTTGTTGACACGCACACGCACACACACGCACACACGCACACACACACACACACACACACACACGCACACACACACGCACACGCACACATACGAACGCACGCACACAAAAAACAAACAAACATCTAGACAATCAACTACCCACACTCAAATAAATATGCAATTGTATGTGTGGAAGAAGTTGCTAGAAAGCAGGTGAAAAATGTTAACTACGTCTTGAAGTACGGTTTCAAATATTCCGATTTGACGGAGCCAGTTAAGGTAAACATTTTCTCTTTCAATCTCTTCCTCTCTCCCCCCCCCCCCCCATCTCTCTCTCTCTCTCCTTCTCTGTCCCTCCCTCTCACTCTCTCTCCCTCCCTCCCTCCCTCCCCCCCTCTTCTCTCCTCTCCTCTCCTTTCTCCCCCCTTCTCTCTCTCTCCTCTTCCCCTCCCTCTCACTCTCTATCCCTCTCTCCCTCCCTCCCCCTCTCTCTCTTCTCTTCTCTCCTCCTACCCTTCCTTTCCTCCCTCCTTCCCCCCTTCTCTCTTCCTCGCTCCCTCTCTCTCCCTGTCTCTCTAAGTATGAACATCACGGCCTAATTCCTGTTATATGTTCATCCATTCACTTCTTTGTCCTTAATGTTATTCGTTTATGTAACAAGTTTATCTATGCATTAACATATTTATATCTACGTACTTACAATTTCCATTTTTTTATATCTGCTTCATAAAACGCGGCAGGTGGTTTCAGCCTGTCTCACTGTGACATCCCTGAGTAACTCCTGTAGCGCTGTTTGTCATCTTTTCACGAAGTTGACATCGGCCTAGTGTCAGCTGAGAGTTGAAAGGGGTATTCCAGCTGTAATGGTGGGGAGAAGGGCAGGGAGAAGGGGGAGAGTAATGGGGAAGGAGGTAGAGGAGGGGAGAGAAAAGGGAGGGCAAAGGACATTTACAAAGAGAAGGTTGGGAAGGGAGATGAAGGTGAGGAGAGAGAGGGAGAGGGGGGGAGGGAGGAGGAGGGAGAGAGGAGTGGAGAAGGGAGGAGGAGAGGAAAGAGGAAGGGGAGAGGGGGGAGAGAGGGAGAGAGAGGGGAAGAGAGAGAGGGAGGAGAGGGAAACGGAAGGGGGGAATGGGAAAGGAGAAGGAAGGGGGAAGGAGAGGACAACGGGAAAGAGAGAAAGCGAGAGACAGAGACAGGGAGAGACAGAGAGAGAAAAAAAAAATACATGAACTGCTCACCCCCGCCCTACGAGCAGTGTCAGCCCGTGCAAGGAGTACACAAACGCGCGTGCGCTGGAGTGCGGAGACACGCAGTTGATGAATGAAGATTGCTCGCGAGTGCGGCGAAGACGAGCGGTTGCAGGCGAGTGGTCCTCCTTGCACGGTTGCACGCGGGTTCCGTTCCTCGCGTTCGGTTATCCGGAAAAGCTGGGAGTGGATGAGCTCTTGTGCGTCCGTCGGTGTGTTCATGGGTTGTGCTTGTGGCCAATGTATGCATATTTTTTTCTTTTGTTTTTTGTAAATAGGAAGAAGGAGGAAAAAATGTATGTCAGCTAGAGAAAAGGAAGGTATTTATTAAGATTATTATTATTGTATTTATATATTTATGTATTTTTATATATAAACATTTGTGTGCGCATATATATATATTGCGCGCACACGCACACGCGCACGCGCACACGCACACACACACACACACACACACACACACACACACACACACACACACACACACACACACACACACACACACACACACACACACACATATATATATATATATATATATATATATATATATATATATTATACATAAATATATACCTTCCACTCTGTTCAGTAGCGCGACCTCCACAGCTTGTTGGTGCGGTCAGTGTCGGCCAGGCTTGTAGTGGCGGCGAAGTCACTCGAGGGCGTGGTCGCTGTGCTGTGCCTTGGGAGAATGCTGATTGCGTTCTACATCCGGTGCAGTTGTAGGTGAGAATCATGACGTAGAGAGCAGAGGTAGTTGGAATGCACTGCTGACTTCGGTTGGCAAGAAAGGGTGTTGTAAAAGGAGAGTGTGTTGTGAAACGGTTGAGGTTGTCGGATGGGTCCTTCGGGTTGTATTTTTATTTGTTTATTTTATTTTGAAATTTATTGATTTATTTATTGTTTATTTTTTTATTTATTTTTTTCCGTCACCTATTGCTTTACAATATCCGAATCCCCCCCCCCCCGCCTCGCCTCTATCCCTTAATCTATTCGATTTATTGTACATTGTTCTGTGGATATATTTACACAATCTTTCTGTTGAGGATATGTTAGTATTTAATTTAGTGTTTAGATTTCTCGCTTTATAGAGCCTAGCCTTATACAAAAGCAACAGAGAAAAAAACAAAGAGCAATTACAATTATACTGGAATTAAATCCCTTCCTTTCTCTCTCTCTCTGTCTCTCTATCCTCCCTTCTACTCTTCTACTTCTTCACTTTTTCCCCTTTCCTCTCTCTTTCCCTCCCTTTCTCCGCTCTTTATCTCCTCCCTCCTTTTTGTCTTCTCTCCCCCTCTCTTTCTTCCCTTCCCTCCCTCCTTCCCTTCCTCTCTCTAACATCTATTACACTTGCTATTCATGTTGGACGTGGTTATGCAAGAATTTTTATTTGCATTTTTTTCTCCGAATGGAAAATGCTAATTTTTAGTGAATGGGGACAAGACATTAACAAATATTAAAAAAAAACAGAAAAGTAAAGACAGAAACGGCGCCATCGTAGCATTCGAGTTCTCTTCGACAAAACCGATTTTCTCTCACTTCTCTCGGTTCGGACTCTTAAAATTCGACATCGTAGCATTCGAGTTCTCTTCGACAAAACCGATTTTCTTTGTTCACTTTCACATCCGAGAGTTTTTAAAAAAGACGATACGTGCAAATGCGTGCGCGTGTGTTTGCGTGCGCGTCGGTTAATTCAAAGAGACGCATTAGCATCGCTGGCGAGTGTTTGGGGGAAGGTAGACGAGTTCACAAACCCTGGACACGATCGCTATGCCGACAATGGCGCGTTTCCCGCGCCGGGCGGTGGGATTGTCGACCCTACCGCGTGCCTCTCGCGTGTGGAGACGTTCGTTCATTTTCATTTTGCAAGATGGCGGCCTTGCCACACAGCTGGTCGTTCGGGGAAGAGATCTCACGGCGCGAGAGGGGAAAGCGGCCGGTCTTTCTTCCGTTTCTGGTCGTGCTTGAAGGAGGCGAGAGGTTTGAGGGCGAGAGGCGATCGTGGAGGAGGGGAAAAGGGAGAAAATGGGAGCCGAGGTCCGAGCGGGGAAGCGCCGGGTCGTCCTTTGAAGGTCTCGCCCGCCGCTCGGGATGAAAGTTGTAGGCTTAGGTCAAGGTTGGGAACTCACACGCACCCGCTCTTGCATACACACACGCTCACACACGTGGACTTGCATGCACGGATTCTCATACATGCGCGCACGCACGCACGCACACAACACACACACACACACACACACACACACACACACACACACACACACACACACACACACACACGCACACACACGCGCGCGCGCGCGCGCGCCGCGCGCGCGCAGACACAGACTCACTCATACACATTTTTCATTTTTTTCCTCCCTTTTCTCTCCCCTCCCCTCCTCCCCCTCTCCCTTCCCCCTCCCTTTCCCCCTCTCCTTTTTTACCGTTCCCTCCTCTCCTTTTTTTTCACTCAGTCACACATACTATGAAATATTAGTGCTTTGTTTGGTGATTAACGACATTTTTTTTCAAAGAAGATAACTCATTAGAAAGTAGATAGAACTCATCGTCAAGTCTTTTGTGTGTAAGTTTACTGTTTTTTTTGTTTGTTTTTGTTCATGGGTATATGTTGCTTATGTGTTTGTCTTATTTGTTTATCTATCTATCTATCTATCTGTGTCTGTGTGTGTGTGTGTGTGTGTGTGTGTGATATGTGTGTGTGTGTGTGTGTGTGTGTGTGCTGTGTGTGTGTGTTGTGTGCGTGGTGTGTGAATGCGTGCGTGTGAGAGAGAGGAAAGAGAAGAAGAGAGAGATAGAGGGAGAGAGAGAGAGAGAGAGAAGAGAGAGAGAGAGAGAGAGAGAGAGAGAGAGAGAGAGAGAGAGAGAGAGAGAGAGAGAGAGAGAGAGAGAGAAGACAGACCGACGGACAGGCACGCACACACACCACACACACAGCACACACACACACACACACACACACACACCACACACACACACACCACACACACCACACCACACACACACACACACACACCACACACACCACACACACACCACACACACACCAACACAACACACACATACACACACACTAAGAATACAAGTGTGCGACCGTCCAGAATCGTCCAGCCAAGAATACACGAGAGATTCTTCCTCCAGACACGACCAGTTTTCCAGTACTCATAATCTAATCGCAGCAATCAGATTAGCATCAGGAGCAGCGCCCAGGATGAGGGGGGGCGGGGGCAGTTGGCATTGGCTAAGGTGGTTAAGGGAGAGGGTTTGGAAGGGTGTCATGGAAGCTAATGGAGGGGGGGAAGGAGAGGTAGGGGAGGGGGAAGGGAAGGGTCAATGAGAGATGGGGGGAGGGGTCATGGAGATAGGGGAGGGATAGGGGAGGGGGGGAAGCTAGGGGAGGAAGGGGCAAGGGGGGGAGGGGGCAGATAGGGAAGGGGGGTGGGGGAGGTAGGATAGGGCCGGGAGAAGTATGCTGGCATCTTGGAGAATCTCGCCAGCATCCATTACGGGCTGATTTTATGGCGCGGGCGGCCGATAGGAGATGGCCGGATGATGGAAAAAGCAAGGCGACGCCCCGGCCATCCTCAGGGGGGGGCGGGGGCGGGGGGGGGGGGGAAGAGGGAGGGCGGGGGAGGGCGTCCTAGCGGAGGCGTCCTCGCACGTAAAGCTATGGTCACACTAGTCTTCTCTGTCCCGGGATATCCCGAGATAGCCTCGCCGGAGTCTGGCCGGAGACAACTTTTGGCGAGGGA